AGCGATTCTAGTTGTTGCAATCCGGTTGCTAAGGTCATTACAGAAATATTAGAAACAGGAACTGCAGATGAAGTAACTCTGGTGATATTTTGCTCCAACTCTGTCTGTCGCACAGCAAGTGTCAATGCCTCAAAAGACATTTCCATATCCAATAAATAGCGAGTACAGGATCTCACATTGCTATTATATAAGCCAGTCCAGAACCTATGTTTTAATATGTTGCTGGCTCTGATAAAATATTACCTGATTTAAGTTTAAAAATAATGTGTTGTTTCCGTATCTTTTTGTGCAGCTGAATATAGCTTCGTCATCAACGACTCTGCAGACAAGATCTCTCCAAATAGTGGGTCTAAACTAGAAATAAGATCATTAATGGTATTCGGGTTTAGACTTACCAATAATTCGGCAGCAGTACCCCTAGCAGCGCGTCTAGCAGCATTTAAAATTGATACTTCCGTATATATATTTTCCGCTTGTAGACCTAATATTTCCAACCTCCATTGTTCAAAACTTACATCTTTAGTTGTATCACCTGAAAAAACTGAAAGTCTTGGTAGTGTGGATGTTACATGTGGTTTAGTGCAGCTTGATTGAAATGATGGAAAATATGTGTGGTTTGCATCTGTAGACTTACTAAAGTATGGGTGTGGTTGTGGCGGGGGAGAGGGCTGTGGCGGTAGACTCAACGAAACTGTGTTGGTCTTGGTATCTGAAGGTGTAGAATAAATTAAGGGCAATGGCGATATATTATAATTATTAGAACCAGATGGCATTTCTGATGCCTTTGGGACAAATGCTGGAACAGAAGACTGAAATTTAACTTCCGACTCAGATAAAACTAAAGACAACGGTACACGTTCCCTGTTTCCAGGACTCAAACTTGATAACATTGCCTGAAACTGACCAATCAGGTCATCAATGACTACATCACCACCCTCTGCCATCTTAAACAATACAAACCAACTGCAAAATAAGATTAGAAACATATAATTACAAATCTACCTTTGATAAAAAAAAATTTACTGATAATACAAACTAAGGCAACAATGGTCCTACAACAAAAATATGAGCAATACCAACCTTTAACTTTCTGCACAATCTGAACACTATATCTAACAATTTTATCTAACTTTCTATATCAAATAGTTACCTGAGAACCTTAAATTATAAAGTATTATTATTCCTAATTGAATGATAAATATTATTATAGCTTACAATTACAAAATGTAATACAAATATAGTAGTTAAATACGTTTAAAGAACAGATTAGCAACCCCCCAATATTATACACACAAGACAATAAAAAAAAAAAAACAGTACAAAAACGTAATACAAAGACAATACATACAAAGACAATATATACCAAGACAATACATACAAAGGCAATACAAAAAACAGTACGAACACTACCTAGGCGTCCCCAGGTATTCACACACATTCACACATCTAAGACAAATACATGATACAAGTGAAACAAAACAGAAATTTACACAAAGTAGAAGTCAAAGTAAAGTTATAGGCCTATAAATTCCAATTCCAATTCACGTTGGGCGCCAATTATGTAACGGGGAAAAACCAGTGACAGGAAGACTTGATATAAAATAGTTTATTAAATGATAGCAAATACTTCGGTATATTACAGATATAATGTATATATATTATAAACTCTGAAATAAATAAATATAATAACTATTTTAGACACTAGGAAATAACCCAAACGATAGTTTTATGTAATGGAAATAAATATGCTGCAGTTTTAAAAACGGATAAGAATAATATTTACAATTAGATACAATGCTTAACCTAATTCCTAGTAGTTTTAATTCAAAGTAGTATTTCAATATAATTATCCTCTGTGAAACTATAAATATTTAACACTTGAAACTTAATGTTTTCCTTATGAAAAACAAAAACAAAGTAACTAGGAAACTAGTGAAAAACTGCCACCTATAGGAAAGAAGACTAATTAACTTAACTCATGATGAGTGCTATTTACAAACCTACATTTAGCAGACGACAAAATGAAACTGCCAACATAACAAACACCAACATAGCAACTAAGCAAATACAAAAAGACAATATAAAACAATATAAGCTACACAATAATATACAACACTACTACACATGTTTGTTTGGAAGTGGAAATAGAAGGACAGGGCCACTCTTTCTGGAAGTATGACACATTTTTCGACACAGCCATGCCTGATTGGCTTTTGATGGATAGTCACTTTTGTTGTGCATAAACCACAGTTGTTGAATTTTTCACATAAGTGTTAATTTGAGGAAATCTCCCTTTCACAGTAGGGATAAATTGGGTATTGTCATTTGCTAAATTGGATGGTGGGTCAGTGTGACACTCTGGAAGTGGTCATGCAGTAGGTGAGGGGACCACTTTGCTGCAGGATCCTCGAAGGTGGTGTCATGTGTCCTACGGCAAATATTAGAAATGGTATAAATCTGACATTATTCATTTTGTCCATACCTTGAGAGGGTTCAAATTTGATGAAAACATGACACGGTTGCTGAATTCGTGACAACATCTGTAGGCCATATGCTGCATCTGTAGAAATACCATATTTAGCTAGTCATAGGCACATTTGTCGCACAGCTACATTCGATAGGGTACCATGTTTGTTTGACGCAAGTGGAAATACAAGGACAGGGCCACTCTTTCTGGGAGTATGACACATTTTTCGACACAGCCATGTCTGATTGGCTTTTGATGGATAGTCACTTTTGTTGTGCATAAACCACAGTTGTTGAATTTTTCACATAAGTGTTAATTTGAGGAAATCTCCCTTTCACAGTAGGGATAAATTAGGTATTGCCATTTGCTAAATTGGATGGTCGGTCAGTGTGGCACTCTGGAAGTGGTCATGCAGTAGATGAGGGGACCACTTTGCTGTATGATCCACGAAGGTGGTGTCATGTGTCCTACGGCAAATATTAGAAATGGTATAAATCTGACATTATTCGTTTTGTCCATACCTTGAGAGGTGTCAAATTTGATGAAAACATGACACGGTTGCTGAATTCGTGACAACATCTGTAGGCCATATGCTGCATCTGTAGAAATGCCATATTTTGCTAATCATAGGCACATTTGTCGCACAGCTACATTCGATGGGGTACCATGTTTGTTTGACACAAGTGGAAATACAAGGACAGGGCCACTCTTTCTGGGAGTATGACACATTTTTCGACACAGCCAAGCCTGATTGGCCTTTGATGGATAGTCACTTGTGTTGTGCATAAACCACAGTTGTTGAATTTTTCACATAAGTGTTAATTTGAGGAAATCTCCCATTCACAGTAGGGATAAATTGGGTATTGCCATTTGCTAAATTGGATGGTCGGTCAATGTGGCATTCTGGAAGTGGTGATGCAGTAGGTGAGGGGACCACTTTGCTGCATGATCCTCGAAGGTGGTGTCATGTGTCCTACGGCAAATATTACAAATGGTATAAATCTGACATTATTCATTTTGTCCATACCTTGAGAGGGTTCAAATTTGATGAAAACATGACACGGTTGCTGAATTCGTGACAACATCTGTAGGCCATATGCTACATCTGTAGAAATACCATATTTTGCTAATCATAGGCACATTTGTCGCACAGCTACATTCGATGGGGTACCATGTTTGTTTGACACAAGTGGAAATAGAAGGACAGGGCCACTCTTTCTGGGAGTATGTCACATTGTTCGGACAGAGTCATTCCTGATTAGCATTTTATGGAGTACCATTTATGTACCAAATCTTTAAAAATGACTCATTATAATCACATTATTTTTCACCTTATAGGAGAAAGAAAGTAATGACTTTTTGTAAATTGTAAACAAAGTAAAGAAATTTAGGTTGTGTGTATGGTTGTAAGTTTATTTCATCTGTGTTTATCAGTCCACTAATCTCTAATTTTCTTTTAACTAATTTTATCAGTTTCATTTTCTTTCAGGAATGATATTGTGATGACATTTGTATCTGAAATTGATGTTCTACTTTAGCTTTTTGCTATTTCAAGTAGCCTACTAGGTATTTTTCAAAACGTTGACATATCTTTTTTGATTGGCCACAATTTGATACAAATGTTAGTCCCAATATGGTCTTTGCGTGGTTTCTATAGGTACCAGACTACCAGTATGATGGTGCAATGGAAGAGAGATGGTGGAGCAAAGACCGCTTTGACTTTCTTACTTTCTAAAACTTGAGTTTACCAAACGACCAAAGAAAACATGAAACGACAAGGAGACTACCAAAGAAAATGTGAAACGACCAGGAGCCAAGACGAAAAAAATTACCCGGAAACAACCTATTTTGTAATGAATTCTAAGCATGCTAATCAGGCCAAATATGTACTTCATTTTTCAAAATTATATATAGTAGTCATCAAACACAGTTTTAGTGGAATTTCAGGAACAACAGACGTCTGATTTAATGTTAAAACTTTGAAGATAAAATGTTACAATTTGTCTATTACACAGTTTTGCGATAGCATACTGTTGCCCTTGTGTTATGATACATGTCTTAATGTGGAATGATTGCCAAGCAGTGTAATATAATTGAGCACTAGATCACATTCTAAGGAGAGTTAGAGCCACAGACGTCTAAGGCCCATCTACACAGTAAAACAGGTTGTATGCAACTTTTATAATATATTCCTTGTCAGTTTACACAGTATATAAAGTTGCATGAATCACTCCCAATTTGTTTACATAAATTCCCACCAAAATTGAGAATGGCCTTTTAAGGATTAAACTTGTGCTCCCATTCATCAGATATAAAAGTTGGATACCGTGTAAATGGGCTTTAAATATGTTAACCCCTATTGGTACAGACAACACTGACACAAGGGTCACACTTGTCTATATGTTTTCATAATAATAATTTTTATTAGAATCATAGTTTCTTTGTCCAATATGACAATTTGACCTTAACATGTGTTTTAGGTAATGCTGCACATCAAGGTTTATGACCCTTGTTTAAGATCCTCAAAATCTTGATGCATGGAAGTAAAGGTGGGTTTATTCGAATCATCTGACACCCTCTAGCAGTTTTGAATACTGTGCTATTGAAAAAGAGTAGGCTAATGCCGCTGTCCTGACAAAATTTCCCTCATTGTACCCTGCATGGCGTTGCCTGTTTTCAGTAGGCCAGATGGTGCAGAAAAGTAGGACGTAAAACCCCATTCATTTAGTAAAATTGTGCTAATCACTGAATAATTTACATGCCTCAAACTACAAACAATTGGTAAGACTATGATAGTAAGGCTGAAAACATTGGTTGGAGAAATGCTCATATTATAATGAAAACCTTGGCTGTCAGTTCGCATTTTTATCCAATCTTGATGAAACTTGATAGGATGTATATATTGATGAGATCTCAGGTTTCAAAGTCATTGCCATTGTGTGTACAATGAAGCGACTTTGTTATTGATTGAATTTGATTATAATTTTGATGAACTGTTTTTGAGGTTTTGCCTTGACCTTAAAATATTTTAAAGATTATTTGAAAATTCATTATAAGTCACTTACGACTTAGTTACTATTTCTGACAGCTGGTAGTAGGTGTATGTTACCTTGCCTGGCAAGCTTTCTTTGTAAATGCGACAGTTATGATCGGATTTCGATGAAACTTGAAACGAATATGTAATTGATAAGATCGTTGTGTTGTTACTTCATACTTATTCGTATTGTATACATGTATTTGTTTTGCAGGTATTGGATACATTGCTGCCAGAGAAATAGCTCGTATGGGAGGTCATGTTATTATTGCTTGTAGAAATATGGGTAAAGCCGATGAAGTAAGATTATTGATTTGATTTAAACTTTCAAATTCGTTCAAAAATGAAATTAAGATAACCGCGTAAACACCCGTATTTATACCGCTTTTTGAAGCAGGTTTGATATATATGATTTAGTCTTTTGTTCAGACCAGTGACAGAGCCAAAGGGGGGCGTGGGGGCTGGAGGGTACAGCTGCCCCCCTCGCAGCCCCGAAAGCAAGTTTTTCAGGCAAAAATCTCATAAATAGGTTAGAGATTCTGACGTAAACCTAGCTCCGCCACTGGTTCAAACCACTAAAGTTTAGGCATCAACCGCTTTTCGAGCCCGGTCTTTTAGTCGTCTGAACGCGACCGGTTAAACTTAAGCTGCTTTAACTTGCTGTAGGATATTTTGACTTCCTATAGACCACTTTACAGATAGAGCGCGTCTGGTTGTTCACACATAAAATTGCATTGCATTGTGGGATAGTAAGCGTCCTTAGAGTTCCGCCATAGTGTAAACAGAAATGAAGTGGAATAATGAGCGATAAGAAAGACGTAGCTGTGTTGAAGCGAGATGAATTGGGCATCTTTTTTAAAGACCGGGAATCCCATACGCCAGTAGAAATAAGGAAGATAGACATGTGCTAGCATCTATTGCCGAGAGCAGAAAGATTCCGCTTAAAACTCCTCTTGAAAATGATCTCCTGAAAGTGATAGAAGAAAGAAAGAGTAAATTTATTTTGGAAGATGGTTTGATTAAGCTTTCCGATCCTGTAAAAATATTAGCTGGGTGGGAGAAAAACTACATAAGTCTCAGATGTAGAAGATTATATAAAACTGTGTAAGTATTTATTACTATAGTAGGCCTACTGATATCAGACTCTGGAGACTGAGCCTAATTTCACAACCTTAAACAGATAAGATTTTATTATTATTTCAAGGTAAAATTTTTTCACTACTGTTCCTTCTGACTTGTATCCAGTATTATTATTTGATTATTATGTTTGTATCATGATTCTATTCATTCTAGTCAAGTAGAATGAATCACAATTATTTATGTTTAAGTTAAAACAAAATGTATGAACTGGCAATTAACAAAACGTGTGTTGCTCCAAAGAGCACTCATGTGAGTTACAAGATGCCTACAGTAATTGACAGTGTTTTGCTTACCTGATTAACATGATTGGGGACTGGGGTATTAAGCAATCAATTACTTCGGTAGATTGATTCACCTCGTATAAATAGGTCCCGCCTCTTGGCTTATCTTGTGTCCAAACATATAAATAAAGATCAAAGCAGGTGTGTCTAGTTTCCTCATGCAAGTTCATGATTTGTTTCCTCAATAAACTACTCTAAGATGTATTATACATGTATATGTATAAACCGAATTAATTTTACAGGTGCTGAGAACAATAATGTCCCGACGAAAGGAACAAAATCAACAAAAGAAGGAGAAAGTTTATACTTTTCTGGACATGTTACTGGAGTTGAATACCATCGAATCAGTCCAAATATATCTTACTGCTATGTAAAGGCTATTGTTGCTCAACAAAAGGCACAGACACAAGCACCATATAGTGTATAGACAGTCCTTCAGAAGAGAACGGGAAAAGTGGAAAGAGCTTACTGCAATTGTCCAGCAGGTCTACGAGGGTATTGCAAACATTGCCTTGCCTTGTTGCACTTTATTGTTAGGCAAATAGAGACAGGATGCAACAAAGCATGTACATCACAACCACAAGAGTGGCACAAACCGTATGTTCAAGGGAAAAGGGTTACTCAACCTGACTTTGTAAGAAATCTTGTTGTGAAAAAGGTTACAGGTAGATTTGATACTACTCAAGAAGATTTTCAAACTCGTGGACAAAAGTCTCGATTGACATTTGAACCCAGAGCATTCTGCTACCGCAAGGAAAAAGCACTATCACATTTTGACTTAAATAGGCTAAGAGAGATAACAAATAGAAATTGTGGTGTACTTTTATCTTCTCCAAGAAGCAGTGTTGAGCAATTTTAGAATCAAAGGAAAACATTAATACAAGTGATTTTGTGAAAGAACTTAAAGATTCAACAAACAGAACAAAGTATTGTGGTCAAACCTGTACACAGGCTAAATCAAAAATATGGTTTGATAACCGAATTGGAAGCATCACTGCATCAGTAGCACATGAGTGTTACAGAAAAGTAAATGAAAATGAACAAGTTTCAGACAAGAATAATTTTATAGTAGCATAAATGACCCATAAAGTAAAATTGCATTATGAACAAATACAAATAGCAAATTCTAATTTAGAAATTACTGAAGTTGCCCGTAATTTAAATAATGGCAGTGCTTTGAATCAAAAGAATTCTCACACATATGTATCATGTTGCAATCAAGCTATTTTGTGTCCCATCTGCAACTATGAATGTAAAGATGAACCTTTGAGTTTAATTAAAGAAAGTATTTGTTGTTCAAAATGTGAACTTTGGTATCATTACCCTTGTGTTGGAATTAAAGGGAATGAAAATGTTTTAAGATCAAAATACAGGAAATGGTATTGTGAGAGCTGCAAAATGATTTGTTAAAAAAAGGAATAACTGACACTATTTACATGTTTTATATACAAACGTTAATGATAGTATACTGTTATTAATAAATATTTACATTTCTACTATCACTCCCTTCAATAAACCAGTTAGCCAAACCGGCGTTTATTTAACTGTAGTTTGTCACGTGACAATAAGGCGTATGAATACATCGAAAACGACAACAAGGATTGACCCACATTTTTTACCTAAAGTCTAATCTAATTTTACAGTTTATTTAAATTTACAATTGTTGTTAATATTTCAATGGAATAATAAATATTTGATAATTCTGATCCAAATAAGACAGTCTATTCATAGAACTATATTGTTAGGGGCGGGTCGGTGAATTTGATTGACAGATATCGGTGAATTAAGCAACAACGGTTTCGGGTATTTTTACAATTAAAAAATAGAACATTTTAGCGTATTTTATCACAAAAGATAAACCAATCTAAATATAAGGAATGAATGTGGATCTTGTTATCGTTATGGGGAAATAAACCCTGGTTTATCATGTGACAAGATGTACAAGACCCGTTTCGCCGGGTCATTTGTCTTGTCACATGATAAACCAGCGTTTATTTCCCCATAACAATTCATTCCTTAATTATCACTTTCAACAATAATTAACTGTATATAGCTTATTCTTCTTGAATATTCTTGCAAATTAGTAATAAGTGGTTTTCTTTTAAATTAATATGTATTAATTGACTCATAGTTAAAAAACATTATAAAGGGTTGGTCAGGTAGGGTTGTGTTTTAATATCTCTAACTTTATATTATATACAGTTGATTTTAGAGACGATAAATACATGCAAGTCAAAAATAGAAAAGTCAAATACATATACTATGCAGGGTGCAATGAGGGAAATTTTGCCAGGTCAGTGGCATTAGCCTGCTCTTTTTTGATTTCCAACTGTCGAGGGATCTTTAACGTACGCAGCCTGTAGCACACACGGGGCCTCGGTTTATTGTCCCATCCGAACAACTAGATGCTTTTTCCATGTCGGCCCCTCTCACCTGCATCACTGACAGGGGGAAACCGGGTTGAAAAATCTGAAGGTGTTATCTCGACCTATGCCGGGATTGAACCCTCGACCTTCAGGTTAGCGAGTTGTCTTATACTGAAGAGTGAATTAATAATCAATTACTGTGTGTGAAGCGAAACCAAAACACCTGATAGATTTACAAGACAACCACAAAAAAAAAAAAATATTGTCAACTAAATTCTGCCATAACTTTATCTTCTCTTTCAAACAAATCTAAAATGCCACATCTTCTAACAAGTTCTGAGTGTTAATCCTGTATGTAATCTCACAAGTGTATCTGAGTGTTGTATATTAGCAATACCAAATATACATTTTTTCTCAAGGTTCTGGATTTTTATACGCACACATCTCTATGTGGACGTATATGTCGGCACTCCTGTCCGTCCATCGGTCAACATTTGCTTGTCAACGCTCTAAAAGCTAGATTTTTTGATGGAATCAAATGAAATTTGGTATGTATATACATATTCATAAAACGAAGATCAAGTTCGAATTTGAGCTATTTTCGACCGTTAGAAGCAGAGTTATTGCCCTTGCCCCAAAATCTTGAATACCATCCGCATGCCGTGGTGGGCATATACGGCTGTAGTCCACTATCTTACTGAAATCTGGAGAAGACAGTAGGGTTGTTATGGTTTTGTCTATGTCGCATACAAATGGAAAACTTGATATAGAAAACATGGATGGAGAAAAGAGCTTTGGTCAATTGTCCTTCTATTGCAATTCTAAACTTTATCAGGTAATCATTTTATTCACATCAATGTGTAGATCAAACTTAAACAGGAGCTCAAGTCGACTAACGATTGACAGCATCTCATCAGATCAATTACTTACGATCAACCGAATGGTCGTTAACTCCAACCGCTCAGGTATAAACCAGATCCAATTTCTGTTAAAAAGTGTAACATGAACAACTATTGCATCTGGCGGCAAAAGCAGTTGGTGCGCTTGGGTTGACTTCATATGGCGATTGACCAGATCCTTCTTGAATCGCCAGTTGTTAGCAGTCTTTGAAAAGCATTTGTTCTCATAGTCTACCAGGCTATCCTTCAGAAAAACTTCCTTCGAAGAAAAAGAAGGCATTGATTTTTGTTTCTTTTCTAAAGGTTATGTCAATGTTATGGTTAAACAGACATTTAAAAGATAAATCAGTGTCTATAATAAGTTACATCCAGGTTTTGTTGATACCCAATTGGCCCGGAAAGAGTAAATATATTAAGTATTTCATATAAGGTAAGACTGTCTGAAGACATATAAATCATCATGTGCTGTTAGTATATTACAATGCACACAAACAAATTTAATATAGAGAACCCAGGAATCCCCACCATTTTCTAAACGCTTGAAGGTCCTAAAAATATAACCTAGAGTCTGTTATTTAGTAGAATGGCTGTCTATTCTCAATCTGTATTTGACACATGTATTCTATGATGGTTCTGCTGGTACAAAATATTGTCATAGAGTTCATTCTTGAAACTATTATTTTAATCCATTATTTTCCCAGAATAATGAAAAATAAATTGGCTATGATAATCTAGGATACTTCAACAATGATGAGTTCATGCTAACTATTTTGGAACACCGTCATGCATGTGCAGGTATTCCTGATTCTAAACAGCTAATATTGTTCATTCGGTACATTACATTACATAATTGGTTATTTTGATAAAAGGATATTTTTGCATTCAGGTTTTGCCAAAAAGGCTGTTGATGGTGGTGCTACAACTATAAAAGCTGCAGTAGACCCAAATTTACAAAGTCAATCAGCTATTTATCTTGATGTATGTAAAATTAAATCTCCATCAAGTCTATCCAGGTAGGTGAAATATTTAATTCTGAAGTTTTAACACTGCCCCTGGATATTGTCAAAGATTACCTTCAACCAGATATACATGACTATTTAGATTTCTAATTCTCCAGGGTACACACTACTAAAAATAAAATTTAAAAAGGGAGTGTAGAGAATTTGTATATTACCTCGCAAGTTAAAACTGCCTTGATTGACGACAGTTTAATTTTGTTATTTACTTGGAACCCAACGACGAATTTGAAATCTGGAAAATAAATAACATGTTTTAAATGTCCTTGTCCTTACCACAACTTACCATACTGTCCAAACCACGACCCATTCATCATACTTCAAGACAATGCCAAAACTCGTATTCGGCATATGATGTGTTTTTACATACATGTAATATAGATATATTATAAACTGAAGGCCAAAAGAAACTTTACCAAGGTTTTAAAACACCTTAGATAACAGTAGGCGTCAGTTTGTTTTTATACAGAACTCCGGTATGTGTTGCATGTGCATTTCGATTTTCCTCCACATCACTTACAACTTGCTTCCACGGACATATAACAGTTACCAAGGTTCACAACTCTTAAATCGAACGCAACCGAGATTATCAGTTGAATGTCATAAACTGGCCTATTTAAAGTCTAAAAATCATATTTATAATGGAAAATAACAATTTTGATGGTGCACGACATTGTCCACATAATATAAAAATGCGACATTTCTTTATCTCTTCAGTATAGGTGTTTAATGATTTTTATTTTAACATACATATAATATAGGTGTTTTATATAACTGTGTTCTTACATTCCTATAATATAGATGTTTTATTTAACTGTAATCTTACATACATATAATATAGGTGTTTTATATAACTGTGTTCTTACATTTCTATAATATAGATGTTTTATATAACTGTAATCTTACATTCCTATAATATAGATGTTTTATATAACTGTAATCTTACATTTCTATAATACAGGTGTTTTATATAACTGTAATCTTACATACATATAATATAGGTGTTTTATATAACTGTGTTCTTACATTCCTATAATATAGGTGTTTTATATAACTGTAATCTTACATTCCTATAATGTAGATGTTTTATATAACTGTAACCTTACATTCCTATAATATAGATGTTTTATATAACTGTGTTCTTACATTCCTATAATATAGATGTTTTATATAACTGTGTTCTTACATACCTATAATATAGGTGTTTTATATAACTGTGTTCTTACATTCCTATAATGTAGATGTTTTATATAACTGTAATCTTACATTCCTATAATATAGGTGTTTTATATAACTGTGTTCTTACATACATATAATATAGATGTTTTATATAACTGTGTTCTTACATTCCTATAATATAGGTGTTTTATATAACTGTGTTCTTACATACATATAATATAGATGTTTTATATAACTGTGTTCTTACATACATATAATATAGGTGTTTTATATAACTGTGTTCTTACATTCCTATAATGTAGATGTTTTATATAACTGTGTTCTTACATACATATAATATTCATGTTTTATATAACTGTGTTCTTACATTCCTATAATATTCATGTTTTATATAACTGTGTTCTTACATTCCTATAATATAGGTGTTTTATATAAATGTAATCTTACATACATATAATATAGATGTTAAACTATGATCTAGCATACATATAGTATAGATGTTTTATGTGATTGGTTACTTAGAGATGTTTCAGATGATGTGTTTAAGTATTTAAGATGATTGCTTTGACGGTATTTTCAGATGAAATAACTTCCTAAATAAAAGAAGATCTTTAAATAAAGTTTTGATTTTTACAGGATAAAAAACAAGATTACTTAAGATAATCAACAAATATTTATTTTATTCAATATTTGGTCCAAAATGTTTATAGTACCAGTGATATATAATAATATAGTTCAATACTTGATGACTAAAGACAATTTTTACCATGAAATTCTTGTGTTTGAATGGAACTCTAAGAAAATAGCAGGGTATTACAAGTCATTGCTGATATAATAAAAAAAAAAACTGCACCTTCCTTTTGGCAGTTAGCAACATATAGGTTACCATTTTTTAATTTCAATGAATGGAATCCTCAATGTATTGAAGTAAAGAGAAGCTAGCACATTGATTGGTCTGGAAGAGTGTACTAAATAATCAAATACATGTAACTTCATCAGAAGATTGCATGATACTACATAGTTCTGGAAAAAGATAGCAGCGTCTGATTTGAGACTACACTTGATGTTAATACAATAAGAACCAATTCCATGTATTTCAAAATATTTTCAAAGACAAGTTTACATTAATAAAGATCACCATTGCAAATTGGAAGAAAGTATGTTCACATAACAGAAAATTCCTTTCAACTTGTGATTTAGAGTACCCTATAAAGGATGCATGAACTTTCATCCCTTTGATATTAATTTTTCAAAAACCTACTGAAATTAGTGTTTTCAATTACTGGCATTACTTGATACATGCAATGGAATTGAATCAATTACAACTTTTCTGACTTCAAGGACTATAATGGGTTTCATATTAATTAGTATTTTATCTATAGAAAAAGATATCTTTAAATGATGGTATTAAATATCATATTAAGATCTCATTAATTCCTCTTCCTACAATTATTTATCAACTAATCACACAACTTGAAACTATTTAGATGCAGTAAATGAATCACAAGCTCATCATCACAAACCTGTTGCATCAATACTATTTTGTTTTTTAACATCAAATTAAATAAGTTTCATCAATTTATCAAGTAAAATCTTACACTAATAAAAAGTATATTATTAGGTTTTGACAGATATGGAAAAAAAATATAAACTATAACAACTATAAAAAATAAACTTCATGAAGTAATTTAGCTTGAGCCTGCAGAATTAAAGCTTAAGAAATAATCAACAAATTAAAAAATTAAAAACTAAGGGAATTAACTATTAAGTAAGTTTCTTTCAAGGATTTCAGTTCTAAGAAAGTTAGCTAAGGTTTGGTATAAGAAGAAATGTTTGTAAAATTTCTGTTTCCCACTTTCATCAGGAATGACTTAATGATAATTTCTAAAACCTGATATTCTTTTTGCGTATCTTGTAGTCAAGCACTGTCATTAAAATGTTCCATTCTTCAAATTTATGAATTCTCAACCATTCAAAAAAAATGAAACAGGATTTGCGTCTTCTCTTACAAAATATTGATCAGTTTTTTTGCAATATCAAGATTGTGAACAAACACCATCAACACTGAATGAAGAATGAAAATAACACTAAATACATGATGATGGTAACAATTATGTAAATCAGCAACATTTCCATATAAGGCATCGTAGATGAAATGAATTCCAGTACAGTAGTTTAGAAATAGTCGTAGTTTTCAGTAGACCCAACTTACAGGAACCCATTGAGGAGTGGTACAAACTTCATCTATAGCTTTCTCTAAAGTCCTTATTGTTTCATCAATATCATTATTCACAATTTTATAATCAAAATAATGTCCATAAGCTTTTTCCAATAGTTCACTTTCTCTGGCTAACCTTTCTAAACTGCCATCCTGAAAAAGATAAAACGCCATAATCAGAATACAATAAATAGTCATACTAATGAATCACTAGACTGGTAGATCAAATTTATGTTCAAACAGCAATTAATCATTTAAGATAAAATAAGGTGTTGCCTTTGAGAATAGGTATGCCAAAAATACCTCATAATGTTGATCAAAAAATCATGGCAAACAACAAATTTCTAGAATTTCATTTGCTATTATTATTACACATTGTTAATAATTCAGATTATTATTAATTCATATTCAAGAAGTTAGAAGTTGTCGTTATGGAGATATTTGAATATCATTAGTATTAACTAGTGTTCATCATTAACAAATTACAATGATTCATGCTTATCGTTACATATTCTACTACTAGTAAAAAATCATACAACAACTAACAAGGCATCACTGAAAGTATGAGTGTATTAAAATCCTGTTTTAAGTCGTATTGTATTCATCAGTACCTGGTTTATTCATTTAAACCATGTGCAAAGTATGTTTGGTATTGAATCTAAATCCTATTCAGAGTCTGATTGGAATTTATATCCTATTCCAAGTCTGATTAGTATTTATATACTATTCCAAGTGGGTATTTATATCCTATTCCAAGTTTAATTTGTATTTATCCTATTCCAAGTCTTAGAGAATCTAAAGCCTGTTCAAAGACTGATTGAATCTAAATCCTATTCAGAGTCTGCTTGGAATTTATATCCTATTCCAAGTCTGATTAGTATTTATATCCTATTCCAAGTGGGTATTTATATCCTATTCCAAGTTTAATTTGTATTTATCCTATTCCAAGTCTTAGAGAATCTAAAGCCTGTTCAAAGACTGATTGAATCTAAATCCTATTCAGAGTCTGATTGGAATTTATATCCTATTCCAAGTCTGATTAGTATTTATATCCTATTCCAAGTGGGTATTTATATCCTATTCCAAGTGGGTATTTATATCCTATTCCAAGTTTAATTTGTATTTATCCTATTCCAAGTTTTAGAGAATCTAAAGTCTGTTCAAAGACTGATTGAATCTATCAATATATATATTATGATCTATGTGTTATTGATGCGTTTTGACTTAGTCAAGGGCAACAACTAATCCGTTTAACCATTCAACAAAGAAATCCTTAAATTCGAACTGTCCAAGATCTCATCAATATATATGATCCCGCCAAATTTCACTTTAATCAGATGAAAACTGTAGTCTCACGAACAAATTTTACGAGTTTTGACTAAGTTATGGGTAATAACTCGAATCTTATCAATTCCAATGCTCACACCCAGTTTCATCAAAATCCATAGAAAATTGTAGTTACTTTAGTGCCCACAAACAAACTTTGACACGATTTTACTACGACAAGGGCAATAACTCAAAATCTGTTCAATCAATCTAAAGCATCACACCAAGTTTAATCAAAATCAGATGAAAACTGTTGTCTCTATGTGCCCACAAGAAATGTTGACGGTCGGACTGACGGACAACAATATACGACCATGTGGACGTATAAAAATGGGGGATGATTCTTATTTTTCATTGTTTAAAGGGTTTAAGATTAAGGATGCTGATTAAGAAAATAGTGAATTGTGCCTATATTTCACTTACATTAATATTTTTCATATCTCTTAAATCACTGACTCTAGGTGCGGCAATAAACACAACAAAGGGTGCATAATCAGCAGCTCGCAGAATTTTAAGGGCCTGTAATAATAGTTAATATTAAAACATGCAATATTTAAACTGAACATAATTAGAAATTGTTAACAAAATCAAATCAACTATGATATGATCAAATTTTCATTTTAAATCTATTGTATATTTTATAAAAAATTTGAAATTTTTTTAATGTTATGAAATGAAGTTTTGATCATACAGCTAGAAAACAAAGAATATCAAGGTTTTTACTGCTTCTGAAAAAAAATAAAGCAAAATGAGAAAAGTAGAATTAGTGAAATTTCATGCAACATTAATTCAACACAATGGACAAGAACATGCAGTTATACAGAATTATGAGAACATGGTGACCATATATGGTATTGATACCTGATGTATGGAAGGTAGGGTGGGTGCTGCAATAAATACTATAAATGGGGTATATTCACTGGACCTTAACACTTTAACAGCCTAAAATATCAAAATTAACAGACATTGAAACTATAAATATATATCATTTCAAATAAAAACACAATAATATAAACAGTTTTCTTTGAATGCTGATGCAAAAAGCAAACAAATACACCATGTTACTGTTAAAACTTTTAACAAGCAGTTGCAAAGAAAGATATACCCACTTTTCAGTATTTTCATATTTTCAGTATATCCGAAGATCTATCTTGTTTAAGATCTTGTGATATAAATGTACATACAAAGAGAGAAGTGGGGGTGTCCAAGTTTAAATTTTGTCATTGATCCCATGTGGTTGGAAGCTTTTAAGTCTAATAATCCAATGACGTTTGACGGAACGCCGGTGGGCTGTGGATTGTGTAAGGTCTGGGTTGGTCCCCAGTTGTTTAATTATTTGGTAGTCGAGGTTTTGACTGGAATGTCTCGGTAAGTGGAAGTGAGAGGCGACTGGTGTGTCCCTCTTGTGAAAAATGTCAGCAAAGTGTTCTTTCAGCCTAATGCGGAACAATCTTTTTGTCTCGCAAAATATTGTTTATGACATAAGTTGCATGTGAGAAGGTAGATGAGGTTTCTACTAGTACAGGTCCAGGTTTTGTTAGCATTGTAGGATTTTCCGTTAACGGTGGAACAAAACATTTTTTTGAGCCTGAGCGTGTTGCAGTAGGAGCAGTTCTGGATGTTACAATCTGTACCAAGATAGTAGTAAGTTTTTCCACTGGCTTGGGGTTTGGATGTGGGTTTAGGAATAGTGGCTGAGACAAGAAGATCTTTGAGAGTAGGGTTTCGCCTGTAGGCAGTAAGGCAGGGTTGCGGAAATGCTTTGTTGCAGTCATTAGAAATGGAAAGGATATGCCAGTTTTCTTTAAGGATCTTGCTGATGTGGACCGAGGTGGGATTATAGTCCGTTACGAAAACTGGACGTGAGTGCAGAGTGTGGTGGCCCTTCGGTGTTTTTTGTTTATTGAAAAGGAATGTTCTTTCGATGGCGTCTGCTTTGGATCTGTTGGATTTTATAATATCTCTGGGGTAACCCCGTTGTAGATAGTAGCAAACCGATTTGTCTGCATGTAGTTGATAATTTGCTGGGTCTGAGCAAATGCTTTTAAGTCTAAGGAATTGACTATATGGTCCCTTACTTTTGATATGGGGAGGATGACAAGAAGTGTAAGAGAGGTAGGAATGTGTGTGTCCGCAGAGTGAGTTTAATCAATCAGTCTGAAGAGTACACCAAAGTACGAAAGTAGTCACTGATAACTAGGGATAACTGGTCGCCTCACCCATTCTTATCTCATATAAATGTACATACATACACAATAAGCTGATTAAAATCAACAAAAATTTCACTTATGCATGTTCATAAGCCACTTACAACACATTTTTTTGTTTTCAAGGGCTGTAACTGATGAAATATTTGTTGAATCAAAATTCAAAATATATAATTACAACAGGACCTTGGAGGTAACCAGATGGTAAATCTGGGTGTTGATCCAACCTTTACACCTTCAGGTAATAAGAGTAGTGACAAATCAATGAACCATTGCAGATCATAATTCTACTTTCGATACCTCTTTTTATCACAAAAAAAAGTAATGTAATTCTTGAAACAAGATATACCTGTGGTTCCACATCTAGTATAGCCATTAAATTCTGTACATGTATCTGTTTAATTGTTTTTAACTTGGTGCCATACATGGCGTCTTCATGGGTACCATACTCTAGGTATTCATTATTAGCAATATCTTTCATCATTTGTTCCGGAGATACAAAAAAATAGTTTTTACCATTTTCTTCATTTTCTCGTGGTGGCCTCGTTGTATCTTTAGACAAATAAACACATTTAATATGCACTCTTTTTGATATATTGGTTTATTATTGTCAGATTTTATACCTAGTATTCAAAATGCACACTGAATATAATGATGCAAGATGCAATTCTGTCAATCAAAAATCTCGTCCAGAGAATAGCAAATAAATTAATGTTCACAAAGATTTTGCTTATCTGCTGCTGAGAAAATGTTCTGCTGATTTACCTCATTTACTGAAAGTAATATTAAACATATAGAAGTTAAATACATACGTGGAATGGGGTAGGCAAATCTATCTGGTTGACTTGTAATTAAAGTATTTTTTATATGTCTTCTTCCAACACCATGAGCTCCTACAAAAACAACAGATATCTTGAATTGATGTTGGACATCTACAATCAAAGGTTGCTTACTTTTTACTTCATAATAACAAATTTAGAATACTCAAACTTATTATCATAAAAGAATACACTTACCTAATAGAACTAGGGTTTTTCTCATGAAAACTGGAAGTCGAACAACTTCTTCATATGTAACTAAATCTAACTGATCAAATACAGCATTGTGTTTAGCTAAATATTTATCTTTCTTCTTACGTCCAAACCATGAACAATGAACTGTAATACAGATTACAAATACAATTTATTGAAGAGCACAAAACACATATTAAGTAAAGTGGAAAAGAATCAAAATAAAAAAAAACTTTTACTTTTCAAGGGTAATAACTTTCTTAGGATCCTCTCTACCAGCTGGTTCTTGGCAAACCTGTTGGCTTTGCTCTTTCCAAGATTATGTGCAGCCATTTACAGCTGGGTTGAATTATGAGTGGATTTAAGAGTGAAGATGAAGGTCATCCGGCTTTCACCTCTGACGAAAGAACCCACTAACACGATGTTGTTTAGCTTAACCAAGAAAAATGCCATCAAAGAACCTATGCTGAAACGGACAGAACCTAATTGTTCACACATAAAAGAAGTTTTAGACAGATCTAGTGAGAGTTGCAGACTTTCAACCACTTTTCTTGGCACCTTTGTGAAGACTATTGAACTAAAATATTTTGGAATAATGGAATATTGGAATATGTCCATATGGTAGATGACTCCATGGTCGCTTGTAGTGTAGGAAGAACTTACTAATATACTAACTTATCATTCAGGGTATATAAAATTGAAATATTTCTTATACTTGAATCAATATAAAATATGTTAATAAACAAATAATACATAAAAGGTATTTGTACCTGCATGTTCTCTTCTGGCTCTTTCTATGGCAGCACATGCTGTTCTCCATTCCTGCAATTCTGGTGATGGAATCAAGCCTGCAGGTTCTGTAGATAAACTGTCCCATTTTCTGGCTTGCCACCAATTTGAATCATCTTTACTTATCACCTAAAAGGGATTAAAAACTTATTTTAAATTTTTCTCATTTTTTGTTTCTTCATGTTGGTTTACATGATAGAAGATTAATTAATAAGCAATTAATAAGTTAAGGATGTCAAGTTTAAACATACTCTAAGTATAGCATCAGATAATTCAGAAAAGTTAGCATACCATATAGTGCAAGGAACAATTGAAATAGTAATATTTCTAGCTGACCCCCAAAAATTTAGATTTTGGATTTGGGTTAAAAAGAGGTTGTTATATTGTGATAATGCACATAAAAAGTTACACATAAACCTCTTTACAATCCTTTTAAGAGTACAATAATTTGCTCTGATTGCATCTTATGATTTTGACCATTATAGTAGTGGCGGGTGTTGCAAGCGAAGCAGACCTAACGGGTACTTCTCTTTGAAGGAGTCCACTACTATACAGCTATACTCCTGATTTTGCCATTCTTAGGACAAGATTTTTGATTGATGGAATTGTATTAATTGTACAAATTTTTATTGATAACAACACTAAGGTTGCCACCAATAAAATTATAACTTACCCGTAAAATGTCACCAACTTTGAAAGGTATACCAGCTTGAGAACACGGTATTAAATCATCATCTCTTGGATCATACTCAAATAATGCTCGAACAAATATCTACAATTCAATATAAACACACCTCATAAGAAAATAATGATACATATCAATCCCCACCATAGTCAGAACTTTTTTTCTCAATTAAATTGTTATTTTGGTGGAGGTTGGCTTAAATGGACATTTTCCTCAACCATTTTTCTCTGTTTTCTTTCCCATCAATTAGAAAAAAAAGTCTCATACATGATATGTTGTTTTCAGATTCAGTTGTGTTTTGGATCATTCCAAAATTGTCGTTCAGGTTAGAAAACAATTTTATCTATCAATTTTGTTTGGGGAAAAATATGTATACATTTTCATGTAGGTGTTCCATTTTAAGGAAACTACAAAACTAATGTGAAAGGTACAATAAGGCAAAAGATTAATTCTTATAGAAGTGATAATGGATCAAGGTGTTAAGACTAATTATTAATTCATCATATCAGTCTCTCTCATTTATTCAATAGGTCATGATAACCAAACCACAACTGTTTTGACAAGAAACCAACTATCATAGGATCTTTAATGTGAAGAGTTTAAAAAAAAGGTCAAGGTTGTTGTACCCAATCCAGGCTTAACTGAGGTCTCACTGAACCTGTGACAAATACCCAGCTGTTAAACTGTGATCAATAGGTTGAAAAATCCTCAATTCCCAGGTATTATCTTGATCAGATTCTTAAATCTGATTGATTGATGATTCAGTCTTCTGCCTTTAGATTCTGGCAGACGGAAGGTTAACCATATACCCTTTAGTTTCTTGATAAATATGGGAATGGTAAATTTGGTGATATTTAATTGCTGACTTTATACCAGGGAGAGATAAGAGGTTAGGTACTAATGTTACCTCACACAATGCTGATTTTATTCGCTGACTAGGGACAATCTTCAATATTACACTGCCCCTGGTGTCTCTCTGTAAATTAAAATAGAATAATGAACTGCACATACAGACTGTAATTACTCTTACCTCCTTTTGGCCATGACTACCGTCTAATTTTAATACTCCACTTTGTGACGGTAAAACTTTAAACGTCACTTGACCTCTAAGATTTTTCTACAATGAAAGCAAGTAGGCGAAAAAATCACTAGCACATTCAAAAGATTGACAAGAATCACAAGAGAAATACAAGAGTAAAAAAAAATACAGCACAATGATACATAAATAATATCCATTGTACTAGAATGAAAAATCATATTTTACAAGCCTGGCAAATAAAAAAAAAAGCAACACCACTTCAATAAAATATAAGAAATATTGTACAGGATGATTATTGTCATCATGTATATCATAAGTTACTAAAAGAGTGCGGCAGTGTGATTTTTCACTTTAAAAAAAAATACGATTTCCTGCTCATTGACTCGAACATCTGAACAATGCCTCTCTTCACTTACCAACATTTTTTGTAAAATTTCCACAGGTTGGTTGTGTACACTAACACCATTGATATCTTTGATTTCATCTCCAACATGTAATGTACCTGAAAATATCACAACTTCCTAAAAAATTACTTTTATATATCAAGAGAGTTTCTATAGCAACTTATAAACAGTAACATTGACTTAATAAATGCATGAAATTGACAAAAAAGTTTTGAAATAAAATGAAACTGTTGTACAGGTGTAAGCACAGGCATCAGCCGTCACTCGGTATGTTCTCTTGTTCCATAGTTTGAATATCAGACAGTAGGTGAAGTTGTAAGAGCCTTTTGTGAACCTATAGATTATGTACTACAAATCATATATCAGCTTCAACATACCTTGTCTATGAATCATACCACCATGCATAATCCGAGCCACAAAACATCTTCCTTCATCATTGACTTTTAATGTGATGCCCTAAAATACAACAGTTGAAAATGATAACATTACGCGGGGGAAGGATTGCCTCCTGGTATTGTATAAAAATTCTTTATGTAATGATACTATAGGTAATTTAGTTCAGAGCTTCAAAAGCCGAAATGCTTCTGAGTTCAGAGCTTTAAAAGCTGAAATGTTTCTAAGTTCAGAGTTGTAAAAACTGAAATGTTTTTGAGTTCAGAGCTGTAAAAAATGAAATGTTTCTGAGTTCAGAGCTGTAAAAGCTGAAAGGTTTCTGAGTTAAAATGTTTGAGTTCAAAGCGATAAAAGGTGAAAAGTTTCTGAGTTCAGAGCTTTAGAAGCTGAAATGTTAATGAGTTCAGAGCTTTAACAACTGAAATGTTTCTGAGTTCAGAGTTATAAATGCTGAACTGTGATTTTACATTATATGAGGTTGCATGGTAACAGCAGCTCCTGTTTAGATCACTGGTGTGTTAAAAAGGATAATGAATTAAGGGAAACATTATTCTATACCACTCATAAGCCATAAAAATTTGCCAGCCACTTTTCTGTCACTGTCAATCTAATATACATACCATTGGTTCTTCTGTATTTTTCTGGAACTGTACAAGTCTTACTCGAGTAACATTATCCCCTTCCTCCATCTCATATGTATGACCGTTTGTCTCAGTCTCACCGTTTATATAGGGCTGACTGGAAGGGGGAGTAATTCTCACTGCATCCTCCCCATAAACTTCATGACCTACAACATCATGGGTCTGTAACAGAGCCTGAAAGATAAAAGAGGAATGATCAATTGTGATGATTCTAACAAAATGGAGTACGTAAACACTTATAACTAAACCTTCCAGAACACATAAAGCAAGAAATTCAATATGTCATGAGCAAGTTTTCCCCAAATAATACTTTTCATAAGTTTAAAAAACCAACATTTTCAGGTAATAAAAACTATTGAAATAATATGAGAGAACCTTTTTAAAGTTTTTCTACTAGTTCAAACAGTTTGATATAAGCCTTGTCCTAATAAAAATCAATAGACAGAAATAAATAAGGTCTTGAAGAAAACTTGAGAAACATTTTTATATTTTGTTATATTAATTGATGTTTTGAAGTGGCCATTAAAATATGAGGTGGGTGTTTTTAAGACAGAGAGGGACGTCTCTGATATGAGATAGTGTAATTTAAACATCTCTATTACATGTATAAGATAGCATGAAGTGACATGCTCTGTTCTGATGTGTATCATGAAAGGAAACCTGTATCTATTATATTTATGAAAATTTTAGGTTTTTTAGCAAACAAAGAAACCTGCTTCATGTGAATAAGTTTCTCCTGCCATTTATTTGTTAATTGGTCATAAATACCAGTATATTAAAATATTTTATTAAACCATCATCATTTCGTCATTTAGGAATATTAGTTAACATTGACAAAGTACATCTATTTAACATTTAATATATTTTTCAACATTATTAGTCTTTAAGCTTTAAGAAATCGAGTAACAGTGGAGCTATTTGACAAATTGCTTTTTACAACTCACTAACTTTAAGGACTAAGTTCTATTGCTCTTAGCGCCAAGTTTTCCTGACACAGACATACTTTTACATTGCTTCCAGCTATAATTATATTCTATATACAATAAATACTGTTATAAGATCAGACTATATTAGTATATTGGTTATTAACATCCATCACTTACTAATAGTCAATATCTATCTATAAAATCATTGTTTGACAACCAGGAAATACTCTTCCCAAAGATGTCTGAAATTTAGTCTAGGCCATACAATAAAACTCTCATAGATAAACATTCTTCTGAAATATTGATCACTTCTATTAACATGTCATCTTTCATGTGATGGCATTTCCTTTTAGACTCTTGTATCTCTTACAGAAACCTCCTGAAAACTCCATTTATATTCTAAATGAAGGAAAACTTTCTTACTATTTGTAGCCTACAATTCAGTGAAGAATTTACGAGAATTCTCATCATCTATGATAAAATCAAACCCATATCTGACCACTGACAAATAATATAAATACCATTTATCAAATTACCAGTAAAACCAATTCTACAAACCCAATTATAATCTCTTTGTAGTTCTAACCTTCCACCTCCTGTCTACCAGTACAGTTTTAACCTGACCAAGTTTTGGCAGCATAAATTCTAGAGTAGAGTTTATGATATTGATTTTATAGTACAAGTAAAGACCAATGGATTAAACACTACATTGAACTTTTATAAAAGGATTTAATATGACATTACAATCATCAGGAAAGATTCCATAATAATCCCTTCTTGATTTTCAATTTTTTGTCTCAGTCAAATGGTTTCAACTGTTTTCATCATTTTGACAAAATAACCCTTTCAACAACATCATCACAAGATTTGAAATGAATAACTGTCATTTTTATTTTGCACAAATTGAATTTCTTCAAAAGAATGATTAAAGTGAAACTGTTATGAGCTTTGTTAATTATAGCTGAGGGGTAAGAGTATCCTTTCTTCATACAACTCTGTTAGTTAAACCAACCCCCAGACCATATTTATTTGGCACAGGGACATTCAGAGCAACTCCCATGACAAAGTGACATTTAACCAAAGGTGGCGCCAGCCCTTCGAGACTGGGGGCAGACTGACTCAATGGGGGGACAACTACTGAGGCTCAATTCAATTTTGGCTACTCTGTGGTGGTGTCATAGTCGCAAACCTCAGAGCGTCTTAGAGGGTTCTCTCAAATTTTTATTTTTAGAAAAATTAAATTCAATTTGTGCATTCCGAAACATATTTTGGAGAAAAAAGGTAGACATTTAGATTTGTTGAAAAGTATCCCTACTGGCACCACCACTGCATTCAATGTTTGACCTTGATACTTTTAGATTATTCTTTAAAGATTCTTTAAGACATTGTTAAGTATATATTAAGTATGAACTAGATGAAAATTAATGATACCTACTGTCACTATATTAGCTCAATATCTATCTGTCAAGATTAAATCACTACCAATCATTTAACAGTCATCAATAATCCAAGAATTGTAACTTCTTAACTACCTACTCACATGATATCATTAAATCCTACTCACTGAAATATTACACTTTGGAACTTAGCACTATCTTTCTCTAGGGCTCACTGATTTCAATCTTAAAGACAGATAGAAAGATCTAAGCACCTAAACAACGGGTTGAAGCTATTATCATCTTGGCATTGATTGGACAAAAGTCACATCATACAGTACAGTAAAGTCGTTGGGGCTCCTAGTTTTCAACGCTAATCAGATATTTTGACCGTGTGATTTAATAGCTATAATAAGCGAACAAAACAGGGGTTTAGATTATAACCACAATAGGTGCACCAGTTTAAATTGTAATAAGGTTTGAGTAGGTCAAGTTTCAGGCTACAGAAGAACTGTACACATTCAATTACTACAGTAGTAAGACAGGATTTGACAATTTAGGGAGGATGCAAGCAACCAACAATTAACAAATTATCTGTAATATTTTAACTATGTACGCTAATTTCTTATCAACAAAAACAAACTGTGAAAGACACCCAAACATTTACAATAGTTAAACTGTCACTTACAAATGTTCAAAATCTAATCGCGGAAAAGTGAATTTGATCAAGTATTTGGTTCTGTTTCTAACTTCATTTATTCAGTTTGATTGAAGAAATTCTCCTGAGAATCAGACCTTCATTATTGCTTATTGACAATTTCCAACAAGTTCCATCCGCAAAAATAATCCACTTTGTTATGGTCAGGAAATTTAATAATTTGACTTCTGGTCAATTTCAGCTCAAATCCTCAAGTGACCCAGATTTCTATTTCCTCTCTGATAGTTGAGATTGAATAGTTTATAGAATAGTTATTTAGTACATCACTAGGAATACCGACAGCCAAAACATTCTAATGTCTACCTCGGGGGAAAACTGATACGAACAATATACACTCAAACTATAAGAGACAGAATCTGTAAGCGAACTAACAGTACAATTGCTGAAAACCAAAATATTGCAAAACTGTTATTTTGAATATCTATATTTGCAGTTTGGATTGTTAGTTCTTTTTTTAAAATGATATATCTAGCCAAATGTATAATGTACCATGAATTTTCAAAATAAATGAGGTCCATAAATAAAGTGAAATTATAAACTGTATTCTTTATCAAATCCAACATTTCAGATAAAACTTAATTTTGCTCAGGAAGCAAAAGATAATCTTGAAAATCCCTAGTCTATTGAAACAACAACTTTCTTACCTGTTTATAAACAGTATTTTTTATGAAATTTTTTTTTAATAATAAAACCAGAAAATAAATAATGACAAGTTCAAACAACAAGGAAGTAGGACATTCAAAGTATTTTTCTTTTTATGAAGTGATTACTTCAATATCATTTATTGAAAAATAACTTAACAGTGTAACAGGTCCATGTATAAACAAGTCTATGAGTTCACAATGGTATCTATAACAAAGTGAAAAGATTTCCAACATTTCTCAATCAAATGTATTTGCCTTTAGGTACAAAAAAGTAGAATTTAATTCTTCATTTCAATTCCTTTCTGAATCAAATTCATATATGAATAAATGTCCATTCAAACAAAACAATTCTGTGAATGAAAATCTCTTCCAAATCACGACAAAATCATATGCAATAAATGTATAGATGTGGACTCCTCAAACGAGAAGTACCATCTGGTGTTTTGAAAGAGTAAGCATGGTAAATTGATTTCAAGGGTGAAGCCCATTAACTAAAGCTAATAAATATATAATCAAAGATTAACAAGTGCAAATATCCATTTCTATTTGTACCTGTAAAACAAGGAAACCAGATAAACCATGAACAACTCTATAAATATATCAAATGGTCTTGTAACAATATCAGTATTCATTTTGAAAAAAATACAATTTACAAACATAGTACTGGTAATGTCTATTAGTGTTTATTCAACATTGGATAGGTAACAGTTACTTACTATTTAAAACTCTTCATTCTTTGACAAGTACAGATTTTAGTCACAGGTTTTATATTTAAAATAGAATAGTTATTGTTAACTCAATATCATATCTTTACTTCTCAAAAATCATTATATCTCCAATGTAAACAAATCACAGCTGTTAGACAACTGCCACATGTTGCCTTCACACAAGTCACCAATTAGTCTTTGAGTCATTTAAGTAGAGAATAATGAATTGCTAATACAATATATGAACAAATATTACAATTTGACACTAACTACTTTATACCAATCAGCAGTAACTATCTTGGATTCACATAGCAGCCATTATTATAGACAAATATCTGAAATTATCACTAACTCGCTGACAAGACACCATTAACTCAGTTGCTAATAAAGCAGAGAATAGTGAAAAGTTAACTCAATAAATAGAGTTTGAATATTACAATCTGACACTAACTACTTTATACCAGCAAGAAGTAACTACCTTGGATTCATATTGCTGTCATATTCCAAACAAAAAACATCTGTTATCACTGACAAGACACCATTAACTCATTAAGATTATTGAGGCAGAAAAAAATAAATAGTTAACTCAATAAATGGATACAAATATGAATATTACAATCCAATTTACTATTATCATTGACTGGCTGACATGACACCATTCACTCATTGAAATTATTGAGAATATATATGAAATATTACAATATCAAACTAATGGCAAAATTAACAACATATAGTGCTGTAATTATTATAAATAAAAGAAGATCTATACCACTATGTACAATGAGAGCTCACTTCGTTTAGGC